CCCTCCGCGTCTTTCTCACTTTATTCTCACGTGGAAAGACAGGAAAAGATGCACGAAAAGACATGCAATAACCAAACTAGCTTTAGGCTGCTCAGATCTTCATGCAAAAGGTCAATACGTCTTTTGACTGTGAGAACTACCAGAAGATTTTCCCAAAAAGACTTGCCAAACGACCCCTAAATAAATTGGGACGATCTCTTTTTGGGTTATGTAATGATTCAATCCATTAGAAGCATCTTCTTGACCCATCTTGCAATTAAAATATTATTTATAATTATAATAAGATTTTAAGTAAGTATTAATATTTATTACTGTACTTTAGTATTTGTCTTATTGTATATATTTTTTTCTCTTATTTTAGATATTTTTACTGGCGTTTTTTCAATCTCTAAGTTTTAAATTAAGCATGCATATTTTAATACATTAATGAGATGTTGTAAAATAGATTAGGAGGTGTTTGGGAAAGTTTTAGGTGGGGAGATAGTTGTGGAGAAATTTTAGGAGGGGAAATGATTTAGGTGATCGGGAACATGAGAGAGAGAGAGAGAGAGAGAGAGAGAGGAGTTGGAGTGAGACTCCGGTGAAGGAGATAACGGTGCCACTTGACCACATGGGAGGGCTGCGAAGGCATAATGAGACCGGATCTGCTCCTCACACACACATCCTACCATGCATTGGGAACATCTCCCGTACTTGTAAGTTATTTTTCACGGGAGATGTTTCTAATGCACGATGGATGTGCATGTGAGGCGCTCAAGTGTGAGGAGCATATCCTATCTTGAATGGAGGAAGGAGAGAGAGTTAAGGAGGGAGCATGAAAGGAGTTCACAATTGGCATCCCACAAAGTGTGCCCCACAGGCACCCCACATGCACATCTAAGCGTGGGAACATCTCTCGTAGTTGTCAATAGGAGATGTTCCCAATACACGATTAGGATGTGTTGTGGGGTGTGTTCTATAGGGTGTAGATGTGAATTTGCATGAAAGGGGAAAGGGAGAAATGAGAGAAAGGGTGACATGAACAACCTTGCTTTATGTATAATATAGATAAATGTACAAAATAATATATTTAAGGCTGTATTTGTTTGCGGTGTAAATACTGAAACTGTGTAATCAAACACTTGGCTGGTCCGGTTTTATAGCCGTTTGGATGGAGTGAAATTAAACACCGAAAATAGAGTTTTACATCAATTCCATTCACATCAAGTTTTACATTTATAATTCCATTTTCCATTTACAATGATCCGTAACTTTAAACCGATCAGTGTACAACTCCATCGGTGTAGTTGTACTTTTACACCACATTCAAATGCAGTGTAAAGGGTTGTGCTAGTATTCAAATTCGGTTAATTTATAGGTTCAAATCTAGACTAAAAAATTAACAAATCTCTACAAATTTAGCATATCAAGCAATATCTAAATAAAATCTGGTTATGGTTAAGGGGATATCCAAATATGATTTAAACGAGTTTTATTAAATCTGATCTTGTTAGGGTGATTTGAATTTCAATCCATTTATAATATTGGATTGCATATGGATCTACCCTTATTTGTGTGTGCATGTGAAGTCCTATACAAGTTATTTTGATCACTTTTTAATTTATTTTTCCATTAGGCTCAGTTTGGGAAGAGTACATACAAATACAAATATGTGCACGGTGCAAATATTGTATTTTTAAATCTTGTTTTTTACACTGTACATATTTCTATTTGTACCTTTTCCCAAGCTGAGGTTTATATACTATATTAAAGACGTTTTTAGTTCACTTTATTGATAGCAGATAATCTGAATTCAATCCAAATCCAATCTTAAACCAATTGATAGAGAATTCAATTTGAATCCAAATATTTATAATCAAATTAGGATCTAGGCCATGTTAAAAAATGTGAGGACGAGGATGTTCTACAAGACCATATTGCATTTCTGTATGTTAACAATACAACTGGTGAATAACCCCATGTTGATTCAAATAGAGACGAATGTGATTATATTCAAAGCCATTTTCTGTTTGAAAACATTCAATCTAATACATTTTGCAACTCTAATACAATTGGTCATGTAATAATTGATATATAGATGCATGGTTTTTATGCAAGCTAAAGCTTTTATTATAGGGTAATATATTAGTTAAACTAACTCATTTATAGGCCGAAAATAGCTATTTCACATCTAGGTTCAAAGTAGTGCAATTAATTGGTACATAATGTATTATATATGTACTAGTTTTCACTGATTTTAGGCTATGTTTGGTTTGGAGGAAAAAGTAGGGAGTATTTAGAGTTGGGCCTGTTTTATAGATTCAAATATAATACTCATCTTAACATATTAACAAGCATATCTACAACTTATCAACCTAATAAAATTAAAAAAATAAAAAGTTTCGAAGTGATTAAATGCTCAATACTCAATACATTGATACTTTTATTTGCAGAGAAAAGGAAACTCTATTAAGATGAGCTTGAAACATTATATGGAGAGTTTCTGCTGCTATTTACTACAGCTATTTTTTATATTTACAGGCATTATAGGTTATTTTGTTTATAACCAAAATTTGGAGCATCTCTTAGTGGCTTCTCCAAAGCAGCTTAGGGGTGATCTTGGGCTAGGTTGGGCTTAGCACCTATAATATATATATATATATATATATATATATATATATATATANATATATATATATATATATATATATATATATATATATGCATACTATATGTATAAGATTATATATTTATTATTGAATATTAAATATAAAATAAAATGGCACACAAATATGTATATATCTAATTTTATATAAATAACTACGGCCTGAGTTAAAATAGGGATGACAATGAGGTGGGTTCAAGGAGGGTTTTGTAAATTTTAGGGTACAACCATGCAAGCTGGGCAACCTGGGCTGCATTTTAGCCTAACCCAACCCAACTCTAGAAATTGGGTTTGAAGCCCAAGCCTGAGGCCAACCTTGAACTATACAACCCAAGCCTAGCCCCCACTAAATTTGATGCATTCAGGTTGGACTTGAGCTTGGGTAGGGAGCAGGTTGGTCAGTTAGTCTACAGTAAAAATTGATGTACACAACTGTATATGTATGCATGTATGCATATATGCATGGTTTATTAAAGCAAATGTCTATATATGTATATATACATGTATATAATTGGGTTAGGGTCGGGTTGGGATAAGATTGAACCGGGTGTGGGCTACCTTATAGTTAGGCTTGAACCCAACTCGAAAAATTAAAAAAGCACAAACTTTTGCATAGGCCCTGCCTGACGACAAAAAATCCAATACCAGCCCATATAAAATTGTGGTATGGGGTTGGGTTGAGCCCACCTAAGTTGCACCCCTAGTAAATTCTACACTCTCCCTAAACCTTTATCCTTACCAAAACCTACAATTAGTTGGATCTTCAAAATCCAAATCCCCCCTTTCCACATGGAAATGCAAAATCCTCCCTCCTCACATTTGAGGGTGAGGTGGGTTGCGGTGGCAGGTCAGATCCAAAAATTATATCTAAATTTTTGTTATTATTTGTTATATATAAGCATTTAACAAACATCAAAGTTTTTAATTATTTTATTGAAACATGTAGAAAACACGTGAACTGTCAATTATGTATTAAATTCAACGCATAATACATAAGTTCATATGCCTTGCAACAAATAATTTAATTATAAGCACTAGGTTTTTCTAATAAATTCAAAATACAGATTGGAGAGGGTTGAGTTTAGTCTAATATAGTATCCTACTTATATCCATATGAGTTGTAAAATCCTAAAACCCATCCTTGCCCCAAAATCCCATATTTCAAACAAAAAAAGCCCTATATGGACAGATACATGCTAGCAGGGTGGAAATTGCCATCTTCTAATTTTTGAGCCAGACTGAAAATGATCACTCCTAAAGCACATCAATGAATGCAAATGCTAGCTTCTTTTACTTTTACTTTTTCAAGAGACTTTATATGGAGATTGGATTCAGTCCTCACAGCCTTTCGAGGGGAACATCTCCATACTTATATGTTTTTATTCAATAGAGATATTCCCAAGGCACGACTGCAAGTGTTTGTAAGGACCATGTGAAAACTATTTTATAAGTACTGAATCCAAATTCAATTACATGAGTAATATCTTCAGCTTCATGCCATTATCATTATATAGTGGAAAAAGGAGTTTCTAAAAAATCTTCTTCTATCTTTAAAGAAGAATTGCATGAGTCCATTCTTTTCTGCATTAAGGCTACAAATGGATTGATTGCACTGCATTGCATTCGATTCAATTATTTATAATTAGATCAAATAAGAATCCACCTTTTTTTTTTTTTTTTTTGGGTATTTGGTAGCCTTGGAGGACAATTTTGAACCAGTGGGAACCCGGTTCGACCAACATGCTTGGAGTTTGGGACCTCCGGGTTGCAAAGCATTGATTGTTGTAGGCTTGTACGTTGGATTGCACAACTAAACACGCTCTCATTAATTGGGGTAATAAACTCCAGTTACCGTAGCGTTGACATACATCACGATTCACGAGGCCCCACTCTTCGAACGTTATCTATCTGTCGTTGCAATCGTTATAACGGCCGTTTATAATAGTATAGACTTGCGACCTTAATTTCAACGAACAAAATTCAGATATTAATATTAAATTATTAAATATTAAAATATACTTTAATAATAAAATCCTAATGCCGTTATAACACCGTTAGTAACGGTTAGAACGGCCGTTGGAAGAACCGTGCTCCACTGCGTTCTGCATTTAGTGAGAGGTCAGAAGTTTCTGCATCTCATTCATTCTCTTGCTTCGTCGGAAGGCAAAAGATTTATCCTTCTCGTTTCGGGAAGCCGTAGAGATTCGACAATAAATTTGGGACTATTTTGGTAATTCGTAAAATGATTTGGTCAATATCGTCCATTGGAAATATCTCTAATCCAGAGAGAGAGAGAGAGAGAGAGAGTGAGAACGGAGATAGTTAGGTCAAAAGAAGATAATTAATTTATTAGAGAGAAAGAGAGAAAGAGAGAAGAGAGAAGAGAGAAGAGAGAGGAGAGAGAGTATGTGTGTGTCTCGTCAAATACGATGGAAGTCGTTTTCATGGAGGCAGCGATGAAGTTTCAGGAGAGAGAAGATGAGAAGGAGAAGAAACACGATAATGGATTCTCCTGCTAAACGCGGAAATGTCGTAAGCTTTGATTCGGTGCTTTAAAAGGGATTCCGCTAGGAACTCGGTTGCAGCGTTCTGAAGATTCAGGCAACAACTTGGAAGTGGAAGAAGAAGAGAAGAAGAACAGTAAGAGATCTTCTTCATATCTTCGTTTTCGTCTGTTTTTGGTTCTCTTAGATTGACCTTACAGATTTGCAGAGGAGAACCAGGAAAAAGACGGGATTTTTGTTCTTTCTCTTTTTATTGCCTTTTCTTTTTTTATTTTTCTCTCAGACTGTAAAATATTGGAGCTGGAGTGATCTTGAATTTGGAGGAGATTGTTTTCCTCTTCTTCAAAGTGCTCAGATCATCATCTTAAATAAAAAAATATTCTTTTTGTTCTTTTCATGTGGAAAATTTGATAGGGGGATCGAGACGCTCTGTAAAAGTCAAGTTTGGGGAAAAAGGTTTTGTTGGATTTCGTCAGAAGCAGTAAAATAAAAAGTGGCGGAGCTTTTGAAACCCTAATTTGGTATCTATGGCTTCGGCTGCTATTTTCTCCTCTTTGCGAAGAAGAAGATCGCCTTCCTTGGAGGCTTTCTTGGCTCCTGTTCATCTCAGCGAAGTAGCCCTTGTTCAGGCCCTTGGTATCGTCGCTAATGAGTTGATGTCTTTCTCACATCACCCGCATCCTTTCCAGAAACGAAATTCTAGATCCCTGATTCGGAAAATTGATGTCTTCGTCATCCTCTTTGATTATCTCAGAGACTCTGGCCGCAGTCTCCCCTCCTCTGCTATTCTTTGCCTAAAGGAGCTTTATCTACTCATATACCGATCGAAGATACTTCTAGATTACTGCTCTCAGTCGAGCCGGTTGTGGCTTCTATTACAGAATTCTTCGATTTCTGGCCACTTCCATGACCTGAACCAGGAAATATCCACTATCCTCGACGTTTTGCCATTAAAGGAACTTGGTCTAACTCAGGACATCAGAGAACAGATTGAGCTGCTGAGCAAACAGGCTAGAAGAGACAAGCTGTTTATTGATCAACATGATGATGAGCTGAGACGGCGACTCTATTCATTCCTTGACGAATTTGAGCAGGGAAAGATACCTGATACTGCAGAACTGCAGAGTTTCTTCATGGACAGATTGGGAATTCGGGATGCCAAAATTTGTAGAGCTGAGATTGAATTTCTGGAGGAGCAGATTTGTAACAACGAGGGGGATGTTGAACCTACTGTGTCACTACTCAATGGGTTTGTTGCTCTCACAAGGTACTGCAGATTCCTGCTTTTTGGATTTGAGGACGAAGAAGTAGGTTCTGGGAGTCAGAAGAAAACACGGGGTGGTCTTGTATATCAAGAAATTGGGGACACTTTCCTTACCATTCCAAAGGATTTCTGTTGCCCAATCTCGCTAGATTTGATGAGAGACCCAGTTATAATCTCAACTGGCCAGACCTACGATCGAGCTTCTATTTCCCAGTGGATGGAGGAAGGTCATTGTAGCTGCCCAAAGACGGGGCAGATGCTTTCTCATACACGTCTTGTTCCCAATAGAGCTCTCAGAAACCTTATTTCTCAGTGGTGCACAGCTCATGGAATTCGCTTTGATCCACCGGAGAACCTGGATCCACCAGCAGAAGTTGTCGCCATGCCAACTTCTACTAAGGCTGCAATTGTAGCTAATAGGGCAACGGCTGAGCGTCTCATCCAACAGCTGTCAAATGGATCACAGGGGGCAAAAACAGTTGCTGCTCGTGAGCTGAGGTTGCTAGCAAAGACAGGGAAGGAGAACCGTACTTTTATTGCAGAAGTAGGAGCAATTCCCCTTCTTCGACAGTTACTCTCATCACCAGACCCAGTTGCACAAGAGAATTCAGTAACTGCAATCCTCAACCTATCCATTCATGACAAAAACAAGAGCCGGATTATGGAAGAAGAAGGATGTTTGAAATCTATTGTTGAAGTTCTAAGATTTGGGCACACAACAGAGGCAAGGGAAAATGCTGCGGCAACACTTTTCAGCCTCTCTGCAGTTCATGACTACAAGAAGAGAATCACAAGCGAGGAAGGGGCAGTTGAATCCCTGGCAGGACTTTTGAGAGAGGGAAGCTTGAGAGGAAAGAAGGATGCTGTAACAGCACTGTTTAATCTGTCCACACACTCAGAGAATTGTGAGAGAATGATAGAGTCAGGTGCAGTAACAGCCCTGGTGGGAGCATTGGGAACTGAAGGAGTAGCAGAGGAAGCAGCCGGTGCATTGGCCTTGATTGTTAGGCAACCAATTGGGGCTGAAGCAGTTGAGAACGAGGAGCTTGCAGTGTCAGGATTGATTGGAATGATGCGAAGGGGAACTCCAAAGGGTAAAGAGAATGCAGTGGCAGCATTGCTTGAGTTGTGCCGGAGTGGTGGCACTGCTACAACTCAGAGGGTGGCTCGGGCACCAGCATTGGCAAGCTTGCTTCAGAGTCTACTATTTACAGGTACAAAGAGAGCAAGACGAAAAGCAGCATCACTTGCTAGAGTTTGCCAGAGGTGTGAGGCTGCAGCATTGCCCATGGAAGGGTATGGAGTTGGATATGCATTTGTTGGCAACTCGGCTTCAGATCGGAGTTCAAATTTTGCTGGGGATGTGTCTGTTCCAGTTTCAATATCTGTGCCGGTTTTGTAGCAGCATACATCCCACTGTAATTCCAAATCATTTTTTGTTCTCCATTGTTGTTGGTAATATTTACATTATATTCTTTCATTGAACTGTCAAGGTGACGAGTGGGACAAGAAAAATTAAAAGAATACAATACGTGATATGTTTAGCAAGAGCTGTGTGTGTTATGAACATACAGGTCACGTTATTTTCTCTCTTTCTTTTATTCTTTTTCGACAGGCGATTGCAAGTCAAGAACAACCTTTTGCAATGATTCAACTGCATGTTGCGGAAACAACGGGTCTCGGGATATTTTCTTTACTGCATTGAATGGGAGAATAAGCTAGAAAAGATTTCGAGATTACTTATTGTGTACATGTCTTCACGGTTTATTCTTTTGGAACCCGCTCTTTGAGCCATGTGGGATACGTTTATTTGACTGTTCCAAATAATAGTCTGTATGGATTGATTCTTTTCAACTCCAGCAAATAGAATTTTCAAACACTACGAGATAAAGTAGCCCTAGTTGGCTAGTTTGTTGAAGGAATATTAGACCCACGGGAATATATACCATCTAAAATGGAACTGAGGGCTCTGCGGCCCTGCCCCTGCAAAATTGAGCTGAATTTCCCTCCTCATTTCTTTCCTCAGTTCTATATTTCTGCCTGATTTGAATGCACCTAATCTGCTGCCAAATTAGCCAATTCTTCTGATTCACAAACAATTTGCCAAGGTTACATCTCGTTGCTGTGCAAAGCAAATTTTATTTGCACTCGTCTAAATTTTGTTTGGACAGACTTCTACTTTTGAATTTTTAAAAATATCCAAGTATAAAGTACATAAAATATTATTTATTTTGATATTTTTGCTTTGAAAACTGTTTCGATAAAAATTTTTGAAAAGTATGTTTTCCAAAACGAAAGTACAGTTTTCTGTTTGGCAAAAGCACACCCATTTGTAGTTCTGGTGATGGTTTCTGGTGGTTTTAGGGTCTGAGATCGGTGACCGTAGTCTGACTCTAGCAGTGGTGAGTGGAGGTAGGGTTGAGAGTTTTATCAAAGGGTGGTGTGACTGACTGTTTGCACGAAAAGGAAAGCACAATTTTTCCAAAAGCACACAGTATAAAAAGATGATTTCGTGCTTTGGGGTTTTTCATACTTTTAAAAGTATGAAAGCAAAAAGTATAAAGTGCACAATACAAACGCTATGGTGTTTTTTGTATTTTTATACTTTCAAAAGTACAAAAGTATTTTATAAATTCTGGTTTACTTTTGCTTTGGATTTGACCTTGTCTTATTTGTTTGTGAGAAGTAAAATGGTGTAGTCTCACCTTGTAATCATACGAAAGACAAAAGACAATGGAGGTAGGAGGGTTACTTATTTGGGAATGACAGGAAGCAAGATGATATTTTCCCCATTTCATGTGAGAGAGGAGGAAGGTGGTGCAAATTTTGCATCAGTTTTGAAATGCAAAATTTACATTGCTAGACTGCTAGTGAGTGCGAGACAAAACATTTTGCATCAGGTAACAGTGCAAATCATAGTTACAAACAAACAGATGCAAAAATGAACTAGGTACAAAATTCATATATGATTCAGATTTGCACTGCAATCAAATGCAGCCTCAATTGCAAGCCAAGCCATGTGAATTGAACCAAAACCACAAACGGGATATTAAGTTGATACTTGATACGAATCAATGCATGAGACAAATTCCCAAGAAGGGATGCTTTGATCAATTCATGGCTTGATGGAGGGGGTCTTTTAGTAACTAGATGCATCTGCAATCCTGAGAGGAGTAGACCACATTGTTTAGTTGTAACTTGTTAGATGGTGTTGGGCTGAATGAAAATGGCAACAGTAGTAAGCTCCATTTTATTGACCAAACTGCCTTATGTTTTGTTAGTTTCCTTCTTTCTAATGACAATAGAGAACTGGTACAGAAAGTAGTCAAGTTCTCATTTTGCCCCGAGATTGAAATTTCAAATTTTCTGCACAAGAGGAGATGCTGATTCAGAAAATTTATGGCATTCTTTTCTTTCATGATGCCACATGACTCTTAGTATAGTTGTCCCTTTGTTAACTCTTAGCTTCCTACAGTTTGATCTATTTTATCGAACTAGCTATGATGGGAATTTTTCTAGGTGTTGTGGGTTGAATTCAGACATAATAATAAGATCAAATTAGATTTGAAAAATGTGATCCGTTTGTTGATTGAATCAAATTCAGATATTGCTTTGGATCCAATTCAATAATATATGGGATTCTGCTGAAAGTGAACCTATTTGTACCCATTTACAATATATAGTTTCTTGCTTTATGTTTGGTTTTGTGAATTTATGCTAATTTTGTACATATTTACTGAATCTTGAATTGAACATATTGGTGAACACCATTCTAAACGAGTCGAATTCAAATAATTCAACAGTTCTATCAGATACGAAATTGAATTCAAATGTCTCAGGTTCTTATTAGATCATATTCGATTATAGGCCATCTAAATTCGACCTGATCTGTTTCTGGTCCGAATTCGGCTTTGTACGAGAATAAGGAGAACCGTTGTGTCACATTTTGCATATGTTGATATCACAGGGTAGGAGAACCATCTTCACCTGCTAAACCTTTTGTCCATGTATAAGTTGGTTACTATGGTTTTGGAGGGTAAAGTTAGGTGGATTTGTTGCTCAGTAATCGAGTGCAGATTTGTTTGAGGACCTAAAAGTCTTCATTCTGATGGGAGGATTTGTCAACTCCAGCATTGACAAGGTGACAATAACCAAATATCTGATATTGATCAAGGACCTCTGGCTCAAAGTTCAAACATTGGAGGAAATATCTCTCAGCTTAGAAATGTTAATTAAATTTTGAAGCAACAGAGTTGACAATTATTATCGATCAAGGATTTCATCTAATTAATCATAATTATGAAAAAATGAAGAAAAGATACTCCATCTCATTCAAGTTTGTTGGTATGTTATTTAAAGATATTCATCCATTCAAATCCTCTTAGAGGCAACCCTTCCCATAAGGCCATTAGAGGTCATGCTCTTGTTATATGACCAGGCATGTAGGATTTCTGACCTTTGTCATCTACTCACCTTCCTCTGTTGGAACTATTACTGATTTTGTCTATTCAATGGTAAAAAGACCATGTCTTGTAATTTTATTTATGGTTGAGCTTTACACTTGCTTCTTCAACTGATTTATGGCCTTCTTATGCTCCTCAGCATCAATACTGAGGGGATATTGTGAATTCAATGGGCCATGAAATGTCTGAGCTGAGGGTTCACCCCATGCCAGAGAATGAAGTTTAGCTAGGAAACTGCTACGCTGCCCCATGTTTTGGTGAGGTCTGCTTCTATGAAGCAAATTAAAAGGAATATTTGGAATCTATGTAGTATCATAATTAAACATTTAATTGCCCTCTGGGTATGATAAGTAACCTTGGTGATTTGGGCATATCCCATCTTTGAAAAATGCTCTCTATAAATTAAGTGGTCAAAAGAAAGGACGTAATAGTAAATCATTTTTAGCAAAAGGGAGACATTACTTGGTGTAATGATAAAATGTGATGGGCTCTGTACAGATTCTGGTGGATGTGATGCTTAAACTTAGAACTCTCACTTACATTGCTTGGTTTACATGATTTTATGTTTTATCGTCAGTCATGGTTTAGTAAAGTGAGTTAGTTTCTCTGCAGCAGAAATGGGGAGGTAGGAAGAAGTCTACTAATATTGTTTTGGATATAGCTAGCTATATTTCTCATGGAACAGCATACGTTATTTGTTTTCATCATCTTGCTATATACTTTCTCTCTTCACATTTCTAACCTCGGGCAGACAATTGGATGCCCCTTCAATCCTCAGCAGTATATTTGCACATTGGTTCTCCAATAATGAGGCAACGAAACAAAAACTCCAGTAGGCACTAGTACTCATTTGGATCCAGGAGTTTCTGTTATTGGAAGTTCATTACTGAGGGACATTTCCCCACAAGCCAAGGGCCTCTTCCATCAACCATACCAACTGAATCAGGTCACCTCCGACTGCATTGTTGTTGTTGTTGTTGGTTTGAGGCACTGTGCTACCACGCCTTTGTTCGAACAGTGTGAACCTACACACAGGGCACTGGCCTTGGCTTTTCACCCATGGGAAGATGCATTCTTCATGGAATATGTGCTTGCATGGAGTGGCTATGACTTCCTGATAAGGGAGGAAGTTATCTAAGCAGATCACACACCCTTCACTGTGATCATCTTCTTTATCTTCCTTCCAAGTTTTAATATTGTTGATATTGGGTCTGTAGTAAATATTTGCTTTAACTTTCCTGGGTGGATTATAGACTTTCTTTTTCAATTTCTCTACAGCCATCTTTTGCTCCTCCTCAGTCAATCTAGAGTTTCCTTGTGAAGGTGGTTGTTCAGTCAATCTAGAGTTTCCTTGTGAAGGTGGTTGTATATTCCATTCTCCCATCATCCTCCCCTGTGGGAATTGTTGGACAAAATGCCTGAACAGAGGATTCACCCTTTGTGCCATCTCATTATAGAGAACAAGAACTCTTATTGAACTGCCAAGCCATTCATGTTGATGGTAGTATGTCAGATGATGATAGATAACAAAGAAAAAGAAGATACAGTAAAGACAAATAGCTTGGATAAGATAATATCTTGGACATTTTATTGATAACATACAGATTCAGAACAAGTTTAATCTCGACATTCCAGTTTCAGAATCACCTTCACCTTTGTTTATCTCAAAGAACTTGGAATTTATTGACAATTTTAGTTTCTTTTTCAAAGCTTGTTTTTTCTTAAATTCTGTCATTATCATGTAATTTAATCTGTTACTAACTTAATGTTATATTTTTTTACATCACTAAAGTACTTGAAAATTGAAGAGGAAAAGAGAAAAGCCTATATATTGTTACCAGAATTTCAAGAATTTTCATATTTGTTATGTTTTTAATATTTTTATTGCTTATTTTATTTTTAGGCATGGTAAGAGCCATTTTTTTCTAAGAGCATAAATAACAATGTTAGATAATTCAATTGACAATCTTTTCTATTTTGTTTCCTAAAAACTTGAACAAAAAATATTTACTTATAAGAATATGTATTACAAAATAAATGTTTACTTTTGTTCATTTTAGATTTAATAAAAAAAATCTAAAAGAATCTTTCTGTATTCATAAAATACAGATTTTATGGAGACTAAGATTTTTATGACTGGACAAATTAAATTATGGACACTTGAAAGTTTAATTTAAATGATAAATTTCTTGAAAACTCACAGAGAGCAAACCTCACCCCAAGGGGCCAAAAGTATGCAATTTTTCATCCTTTCGTGTTTTACATCATTGTAACGGAACTTTCTTCTCTTCTTTTTTCCTTATTTCATTTGAACTCATCCAGAAGTTCTTCACTCTTGCCTTTTCTTCTTTTTGTTTTGTTATTAGTTTTAATCCACTTTATGATCCACTGGTAAATATGCTATTCTGCACTGTCTGATCACAGCGTCAGATTATGGGCTTTGTTCATCACCTGCCTTGATTTACGTCAGACTGTATAGTTAATCTTTCCATTAGTGTGTACTTAAGACAACTGGAATGAAAAACATCTAAACTAGTGCATGAGACGATCATATACAAGACAGAATTACAGATGCAGCAAAATACTTACAGTAGATTGGGAAGGAAGAATTCGACGACCTCGCTGAACTTGCCCACTTGGAATCACTATTATTGGGAACATAAGCTTAGCAACTTCCAGGCCTGCTGCCCATGATGCATCTCCTCTCTTCCAACCAGTGACAGAATTTYAATTCCTTTCTGCATGGGTAAGTTTATGAGAGGCTGTGGAAGTGGGGTTCTAGTCATTTATAGCCTTAACTTTATCCTCTCTTGTGTGAAAATGGATGGGTGTTGTTGCCTTTATTTATTCCTTCTTTCTTTCTTTCTGGACATGCTAAGGAATCGATTCTTTCTCCATTTTAACATATTCTCTTGGTTTGCCACGATAATGAAAGAAGGAAGACCCAGAAGGACAGTTGTTACGAGGAAGGAATCTAGAGTTTTTCTTTTCACTATTTACCAAACAGATCAAACAAGACTCCATGAGCTGGAGTTTCAGCCTATTCGTTCAAATTGCCTGGGCACTGAAGAACTAAGATCCTTGAATATGACCTATAGGGCCAAAATACCGCCTTAGTTGTTCAGGGGTCGGAGGTCGGCTCTGCCTTTTTGCTAGTATGCAGCCTATCTCCATCAGTTCTCCATTGGTAAATTATTATTATTTTTGAAATGGACAACGATCTTTATGACTGTCCAGCCAATTTGGTTCGATTAAATGTTGTCTGGTTTCCAGCCATGATCACAACCGACCAGAAGAGATTGGATAATCGGGATCCGGAACAAAGAATGTGGGAGCATCAAACTAATTAAGTTCTTGATGATTGTGAGAAGACTGAAGACACAAGAAATTTCATGGAGAGATGAAATGTCTCATGTGTATGGAGAAGGTTATGGACTAAAGTCCGTAGCTAGATTGGCTTACTGGCTACAGCAAAGTTAAGAGCGAAAAAGAAACTATAATGGCAGATGATGCCTGTCATAGTGAGGACTTGAGGGCCCAAACTATATTCTTTCAAAAGGTAGGCTGATAATTTGCAGTTCAGACTGGCATAACATAGCTGTTGCCTTCGAGTTCAAAATTCTGGTAAGGTTCATTACCCAGTTTTGATCCTTATGGCATGAAGTGGCCGCTCTCAGACTTGTACTCTGCATTTTCGTGCTTGCCAGCCCAAGATTTTACCATTGCACCAAACAATGCAAATGCCCTTCAGTTGAAATCATGGAAGATTCTATATTTTTTATGCCTTTTATTTATTTGCAAATTTCTGCATTTAGTCAGCCGCCCAAAACTTGAATTGTTGAACAACCATCTGCTGGTTCTAATCTGCATTTCTATGGTCTATTTCGAACTGGTGTTACATCACCTAAGAAAATCTTATTAACTATCTCTAATGATGTCATCTAGGTAGGATTCTAGTGTAAACTCTGATACAAGGTTCACGATTTCAATATACGTATCATATTGGGGTTTTCCGATACGCCCCTACAGGGGTATTTTGGGTCAGACCATGGTTCATAGGGCAAACGGGCCTTAAATTGATCCCTCTGAATCAGAGTTAAAAAAAAAACTAAAAAAAAGGAACAAGCGAGCCTCGATACAGGTCGACACACCCCTATTGGCGTATCAACTTATATCGATATTTTGAACCTTGCTCTGATACATTTGCATATATAATGTAACAAATCATTAGCGTCCCTACTCCCTAATATATTGATTATGGACACTAATGGAAAACTAAAGCACAATAACATGCTGAGCAAAACTCACAATGATTTTAAGGAAAGATCAAAATTTTAATATGATACACCTGGGATTGTATTGTATCGGCAAGCCCTTGATAGTAGATACTTGATAGGGGTAATAGCATATAAGGACAACTTTTGGGGTTTAATATCAATAAAAGTAATATATTTAAAAAAATTTCAAAAATAGGTTAACTTTTTAAAAATAATATCAATAAAGGGCAAAGACAATGTTCATCTTCTTCTTCTTGCCATTTGTTCATCAGAGCTGTTGCCTGCCGCCGTCCGCCACCACCCGCCACTGCCGTCCGCTACTGCCCACCCACCTCTGCCTCCGACAACGTTGCCGGAGGTGGTCAGAGGCAAAGGTGGAGGCAGCGGCGCTGGTGGTTTCTTTGTCCAACACCGCCACCTCTGCCCACCTCCACCACTGGCAACGTTGCCGAAGATGGGTGGAGACAAAGGTAGCGGCGACGGGCAGAGGAATGACCACCAGCGCTGCCGCCGCCACCTCTGCCTCCGACAACATTGCCAGAGGCGGAGGCGACGGCAGGTGGCAGCAAACGGCAGTGGCGGGCGGCGATGAACAACAACTTTGATGAACAAATGGCAAGAAGAAGAAGATGAATAGTGCTTTTGCCGTTTATTGATATTATTTTTAAAAAGTTAACCTATTTTTAAAAAGTTTTTAAATATATTAATTTTATTGATATTAAACCCCAAAAGTTACCCTTATATATTAGAAAACCTACTTGATACACCTTATATAGTGCTTTTGGGGTTTTGACCATTTTTAGGGGACAAACAGGCCTACGACTGACCCTCTGTCCTCTTACCACTTTTAGGGGACATGCATATTGGTTTGAAACACCCCATATGCATGCTTGTGTGTATTGGGTGTTTGAAACTTTGGATAATTTGAACCTTCATTTTAGGCACCTTCTTTTTCGTTTGTAATTATGATTTGCACCCTTACCTCATGTAAGGGTGTTTGAAACACCCCATATGATTTGCACCCTCTGTCCTCTGTCCAAAACTGATGCACCTTCATTTTCTCGAATTGAAGTGGAGGAGATACATAATTTTACTTACCGTTTTACTCGGTCAAACAAACAGCCTTCCTTGTGTCTGTATCTTCCATGTAGTGGGGACTATATAATTTTACTTCACATTTACTCCTTGCAAACAAATAATTTACATGAAATTTCAGTTATCAAAGAAAAAAAAAGAATTACAGAAAACACACAAAGCCTGAAACAGAGACCGTAAATCTTCGCTCTCTGAATCTGATCTCGTGAACTAGATAATATCACATTTTTAGGGTCGAAAGATATAGATTCTGCATAGAGGTGGATACAAACCAAGCCGAGCAGAAGTGTGTCTTTTCGTGCAGTCGAAGGTTTAAAAATTTAGAAGCCTATGTTTTCGTCTTTTTCCATTTGGTTGGGGGAAGATTTACCTGTCTAAAGACTTTGCACCAAAGACACGAGAAGTTCAATTCGAGAAGTTAGAAATGGAACTTTATGCTTGATGTAACCGTTTCTGGTCACGTACCAATTTTTGTGATGTATCAATTTTTTTGGCTAAGTACCTCGTCATTTGACCTGCTCCTAAGTGGCCCGTGACTCAGAGGATGATGGAGCTCCTTGGTGGCGAACTGCCTGGTGATGAGTTACTTGGTGGCGAGCTCCTTGGTGGTGAGCTTCCTGGTGGCGAGCTCCCTGGTGGAGAGCTACTTGGTGGCGAACTCCCTGGTGGTGAGCTACCTGGTGGCGAGCTCCCTGGTTGAGAGCTACCTGGTGGCGAGCAACCTGGTGACGAGCTCCCTGGTGGAGAGCTACTTGGTGGCGAACTCCCTGGTGGAGAGCTACTTGGTGGCGAACTCCCTGGTGGTGAGCTGCCTGGGGGAGAGCTATGCCGAGCTCCCTGATGGTGAGCTACCTTGTTGGACTCGTCATTTGACCTGCTTCTAGGCGGCATGCAACTCAGAGGATGGGGGAGCTCCCTGGTGCAGCGCAACCCGACCACCCTCTACATGAGGTGATCTCCTCTCCTTTGTAGGCGGCGGGAGCTGAGGGACATGTGAGAACTGAATCAGAGGACCCGTGTGTATTTACCCGGCGGGGACTCTTTGATGGCTAAGTTATCACTCTRATAGTAGAGAGCTTGAAGATGATATTAGAGGATGAGAGAGCTAGAGAGCAGGGGTTACCATCCTTTTTCATCCCCCCTCCCCTTTGGGGGGTGAGGTTTTTATATACTGGAGTCCTCGCGGGTTAGGTGGGTGAAAAGCCTCTAAACGGTAAGACTCGTCACATCCCGTCAGAACCGGGGTACGGTGGTGAACTCCTCGAGGTCGTCAGGCTGGCGCTTG